ATTTGTATGTTAACCATGCCCTCTCTATATGCTGAGTGTGAGCTCCAGTAACAGGATCAACAAACCACTTTGAATGGTTCACAGTGAAGTGTGAATAGCCCAAATTGGTGAGAGCACCCCTATACGCCCCCCACTCATCACTAATCATTACTGTCCCAGGGCGCACATGCTTCACCACCAACGGAAGTAGATGGTTGCGGGACCTCCTCTTCACCAGCTTCAATATAGGTCTTCGAACTTTTCCTTTCACTCCAAGCATTCCAAAAACCCACTTTCTGCGCCTCCAAGTGTTGGCTATTCTCCCACGACCATACTATAAATACAAAAAGTCTCATTAAAACTTCACCATTAAAATGTCTTTTTTAGTTATACAGCTTGCTGTCATGAGTATACTATTTTTATTTATCACTAATTTGGCGACGGAAAAGTATCACTTGCATGTAAATTCCTAACACAAAGAGTAGCTAATCACTTGCCTTTGAAATGTTGTTTTTTTTATACCAGGCAAGGATGAAAATCTCTCCATTTTCTCTGTAATGGTAATATAGTTTAGTTTACTAACAATTGATTTATATTCCTTAGCTTCTTACCTTTAAAGTGAGACCAGATATATGCATATCATCCTTATCGTTGAGGAGCTATTCCTGATTCATTTTGGGTGCTTTTGGGCGTTTTTTCCAAGGGATAGGGTTAAAAAGTAGGACTTTAAGCCTCACAAGCACTACTACAAACACCTGCTAGCTTGAACCAAAATGTAGAATTATAAGTTTCAGTTTGGGCTTGGGTGAAATACTACTGTTCCAAGATGACAGATTTTCATGGCATACTATACTATGCCTTTCTCATAAAATGTATGGAATAATATACTATGACTTTTTAATGACATACCAGATACTTTAGCCTTAATTTTTAGCCGAACTGTCTACCTTTCGTTTATGGCGAAAGTTGCTCTCGTCAATGACAACAATCTCCCTTTCATCTCCTAGGCGTTGTCCAGTCCCTTTTTTGTGTCGCCTCATTGCATGTCTGCAGATTTTTCTTGCACAGGATGCCATCTTTGAGAGTGTTGTTGAGCTTTTCGCTATGCCATCTGTCTTCATATCAACCTGCCTCATTCGCAAGCCTTGTGAAAACCTGACAAGGAAGACAATTTACCTTTTTATTAAATGTTTCGTGTAATCACAACATAGGAATTATACACACTAAAAAAAATGCAGTGGTTGGTTACCACCTTCACTCATTAAATAAACAGAAAGCACTATAGGGGTTCTTGTGCACCCTCCACTCACCGCTATCACATCTTAGAGCCATAAAGCCTTCTAAATGCAGTCATGATACAGACTTTTTAATATTGGATTGCAGTACAATCCCAGTAAAATCTATGATGGTATGGCTGATCTGAATGTATGATCTGGATTACCTGTAGAAGAATTTCATCCATGAAATTAAACTGCATCTTGAGTTCTCAAAGATAGATCCAGTTCTGATTGTTTTGGTTGTTTTTCTTCCCCTGTGGCTCTTATGTCGGCATACCCTGGACCAAAAATAAAACAGTTAACCTTCTATAATACAGTTAAATACTATATACAGTAGCCTATGTAGTTTGGCTATTGTGTAAACAAGTGTTCACAATTATAAAGTGTCCAATAGCCTAAGTGTTTCAACTTTTGCATACTTTATTGTGTTATACTTTTCCTTTAAAATTTGAAAAATTTTCTTTTTTTTGGCCATCAATCTATAACCATTGTGTGACTGCTAAGCAAAAAAATATTTAATCGATTTCAAATACTTTATGAAATCTGAACTGATTGCATGTCAAAAATGTGCCTGAACTCATCAGTTAATTATACGCATGGACTTGTGTGGGGATGTGTGGATGCCATTAGTAAGAACGTTGCCTACTGGACTTTCAAAACCATGTAACCAGTGGCGGCTGGTGGAAAATATTTTTGGTGGGGCTGTGAGTAAACAATTTTTTTTGGGAGAAATGACCCCTTAAATTAGGACTTCTGGTGATGTAATGCATTACAGTGCAGCGCGGAGCTCGCTTTAATGCTGCGTTCAGACCGGACGCGATGCGAATATTCGCTTCGTTCTAAACGCTCCTATCGCATCGCTCTAGTCGCTCGAGTTTCACCGCGGCTGCCAGCTGTGTTTACTCGCATCATTCAAACAAGACGCGCTGGCTCGGGAGCTACAACTACAAGAAAATTAACATATTTTACCGTGATTAAATTGTAATACACGTTTCTAAATGATGTCGACGTAACAACATACTGATACCGGTTAGTAAAAACCATGAATTAATGCTTTTGACAAGTCTGCAGACAAACCTTTTAGAATGCTTGTTTTCTGAATGGAGCTTGGCTAAGCTAACGTTATATATGCTCCGACCGTCCACACTCACAACAATGGCCTATACAGATATAAATAAACCAGCGACTGTATTCTCCATGACACAGACAGTCTGTGGTTTGTACTTGTTTAACTTTTGTCTAGTTTCTGAACAGATCGTATCTGTCCCCGGCTGTTTGAAGAGCAAGCATGGGAAACAAAAGACAGCATTTACCTGTTTGCATCCAGCTAGCCATGCCTTTCTGGTGTACCAGCTACGTGAGAAGCCTCGTTGATACGTTTTGTCTTTTTCACGAGCTTGCTGCGATATATACAAATCGGGTTGGTCCGGTCCAAGGTCTTTAAGCAACAGTTTATCCCCCAAACTTCTCCTTTCGAAAGGATTGGAGATTAGCTCTTGAACGGAATTGGGCGGGGACCGAGGTCCGGCGACTCCACCTGCACACGAAGCCATTCTCATCCAACTACTGCATCACCTTGGTCACTCACGAGTCTAAAAAACAACTCACGTCAACGCACGTAAGCAACGTGGGCGCCAACGTGGGCGCCAACGTGAGCGCCCTGGTGACCAAAATATTTGATGCCGCTGATTGGCTGAAATTATGTTTCGGCGGCACAGTTTACTATTGAGACTTTTGCAACGTGCTGGTTGCTGCTGTTTGGCTCGGAGGCTCCTTGCACGGCGCCTGGTAATGATAATCTAATGCCACGGGCAAGGCCAGGCAGGAAACATGTGACTTATCAGTAACTTTAGACATTGTAACACAATTTTAAACGAGATTTTATTGTAGATTATACATTTTACTGATACCAATTGTATGATATTTACCTTGTTCATTACAAATAAAAATATAAAATATATATATATATATATATATTTATTTATTTATTTATTTTTTTTTTTTGTATGTGGGAAGAGGTGGGGCGGCGCCCCAAGTGCCCCTATGGGCCGTCCGCCACTGCATGTAACCATGGAAAATGTTCAATAACCTTTTGTAATGATCGGGCTTTATGCATAGCTACGATGCATATCTAGGCGGCAGTATAACATCCATTGACATAGAAGGGAAAGCACTGTTAGTATATAGAGGCGAAGTCCCTCCCCTTCCGGGGGAGCTCCATGGGACCTTGGTTGCATTCCAATAGTCCATTTAGCTTAGGAACCTGGCAGCCATGATAAGTACCGTTCCAATTCTCCAAATGAAAGGAAAGGAGGTTTCAAACTTCCTTTATAACCTCCTTTAGCTTAGGAACCACTGGACCTCCCTAACCGAAAGGAGAGGAGAAAATGCTGCCCCACAATGCATTGCAGCCGCAGCATTTGCCATCACAACAGTCGGCCGTTCACGGAAACAACCGATTATGACCGAGAAATGATATCATGAAAGTTACGGTGCTTATTAAGCATTTTAAAACGTATGTGGTAAGTTGCCAAAGTGCTTTTTTCTGAACGTTCATCAGTATTATAATCAAAAAGAGAAATATGAACGTTAGTTTTTACTGAAATGATCAAATAAAGTCAACGTCTCACATCTCACAAATTTGACATAACATTAATACTTTACCTTTGAATTTTAGACGTTCAAAGTATTAATGCTGCTTTAAGTCAATATGTGTTGCACCTGCTAAAGCAGTCTTTGGAGCTGCCATGTTTTGTTGATCAGTTTTTTCCAATAGAATAAGTGTAAGTGGCACACGTCACTTATGTCCACACACAGCTTAAAGGGCCTAGCAAGTGGCAGGCTTGACAGAATAACTTCAAACAGTTGTCAAAGAAAAAGTTGTAATTGTGTATTGTTTGTAATTAATCAACATTGATTTAATATAATCTTACTAGTAGTTTAAGTATTAATTTGTATTGTCTTTTTTGGGCAATCAGCTTTTAGTCATCAGTGTTTGGTTTTGTTACATGCACTGGATTTTAAGAGATTGTTCTAAATGACTATTTACTACTATTTATTTTTTAGTATCATCCTTTTAATCAGATGGACATTGCTATTGTGAAATTATTTCAGGTTTCCAAATGAAATCAACTCATATTTTATATATTAAAAAGAAACAAAAGCTGTGACTTTTACGATTAGGTTATGCTTAGGATGAATTAATGATAGTAACCATGCAACAATGCAGTGTATGGTGCTCAAAATAAATGTCATATAATCTAACAATACATTGTCTCTAATATTACTACACAGACCCCTCTGTGCATCAGCCTCCACACAACCGGGCAAATACATCGCCATGGGCTGAAAAGGGTATTTCTGGTTTATTATGTCGTGAGTGCTGTATGTATTGCAAGATTAATTTTACTCCAGCCCTTACTGTAATTGTTTTAATGTAATGTTGACTTTTCTCAGCATTATGTGTTGTGTTTTATGATAAATACTACTTAATAGTTGTTATAAATCACAATGAATCCCCAACATAAAATGTTATCTGATAATAACAAAAAAGGTGGTTGTATGTGATTGTAGTAATGGTTCTTATATCTCCCGATCCAAAATGTACCATTGACCTGGCTGCTACTTGGACATAAACATGCATGACTGGCAAAAAAAGAACACTGACATCATCCGTAGCAAATATATAATCTCTCTAAAGTTGTAATTTTTATCTGTCATTCAAAATGTACAGTGTTTCCACCTATGTCGGAGCATCCGGGAACCTCTGCAGAAAAGGCACAAGAATACGGTAGGCATGTGTTTCACAGCCAGCTACATTAATTCAAACAGTGCTCAGGTGTGGTTATATACTGCTTTGATTATTTGCCATTTTGCTATTGGTTAAGAAGAGGGAGATTGTCAAAAGTTTAAAATGTAACAGTATTTAATTATGAGGCCTTCATTTGTTTCAGAAGACCCCAGTCTACAGACAGCTCTGCAGGAGGCTCAGCAAATGATATACGGCCAAAATCAGGAGATTGCCACCTTGAGAGAATGGGTTAATATTCTAACGGAGGACCGTAATTTTCTCAGGGAGAGACTTAAAGAAGGTAAAGATGATTTGAGGAGATTACAAGTTTAGAAATGTACATATACGTTGATTGTGATGAAACAATTGCTGTTATTAGGAAATAATTACTTTATTTGTTTTGTGTAGCTCTTGCACTCAGAAAGGAAAGGGGAGGCGAGCTAGCCACGAAGATCCCACCTGGAGATCAACCACCTGGACAGCGGAAAGAGGACTCGGATGAATCGGACCTTTCGTCATCTAGCGATTCATCCGAGTCTGAATCAAGTTCTGAATCATCTGAGGACAAGAAGCCCAAGAAGAAGTCCAAGTCTAAGCGCAAGCTCAAGCGCAAATCGGACAAGAAAAAACGGAAACATTTGCGAGGTATGTACTGACTCTTTCAAAAACTCAAGTGATACAGTTGTCACTCCAAAATGAGGTTGGCTTAGCACTTAATCAATATTGATATAAAATAGAAAGACCCACCGAGATTGCAGAAACATGTTATACCTATCCCCGACAAAGTCCTCAATAGTAGCCTGTCATTTCAAAGTATTACAAAAGTCACACAACTGCAGAGGGCAATTGTTTTTAAGAGAGATGTACTTGCTACTGTCCACCATAAGCAGGTGACAGCCATTACCACAGAAGCTGAAAGATGCCTTGCTTGTCAGGATGTTGTGTCAATTTTGTTACAAATACATTACCTGCAAAAAGGGGATTGATTTATTTTCACTATAATTCCATCTATAAGTAACTTCCTATCAGATGGGGGACCCTGGGACAACATCTTGAACCAAATGGGCATCCGTGGATTAATTTGTGTCAGTTTATGGGTGTTTGATGTGAAAAAGTTTGTTTGTCGGAAGTCTGCCATGGTAGCTGGATGTAAACCTCTCAGTCTCTCTTTCAAAGATTACAGTTGTCATGGACATACTGTATGTGTCCTTTTGCCTCTCACACATATGATCTTAGCCTGTGTATTTACTTGATTCCCACTAGCATCTAATTGCACACATAGTGCAGTCAGCTAACAGATGGATCCTTTACCGCTCGACAGACACCCCACTCTGCTGGTGTTTTATGAAAAGCGTGAAGACACAGTCCTCACAATTTTTTTTAATTACACATTGTTACAAAGTGGCATTTGTCAATCTAACAAACATCTTTGGTAAGCATACAAGCACTGGCTTCCCATACACTTTTACCAGATAACAGTCAAGAGTATCATTTTGTAGTAACTCATTAAATTAAAGTGAATAAACCTGACAAAATGTAAAAATGAGAACCCTGCTAACTGCATTGATCCCGCACTTCATTTTATGGAGGTCATTTGAGTGCAGGGAGGTAGTTCTAGTGTGGTCCTATAGGGTTTTCTTGAGTTGGACTTGTGTTGCGTTGAAACATTGCTAATGTAACTTAAGAGAGCTCTGACTCCAGTGTGCAGTTACCTTTCTATTGTATTCTTACTATTTCTGCACAATTGGTACTGTACTTGCTGTGCATAAGTGGGTGCTAAAGTTGACTGAACTGTGTAAGAGTTTGATGATGTAGCAAATATGAAATTGTGAATCAATGTGCAGCACTGCCACTTTGATCAAGCTAATGTTGTGCTTTCTATTGTCTTACAGTGAAAACGCCAGACCACTCCATTCGCCGGTACAATATGGTACTGGAGATGGTAAAAAAGGAAGGCATCAGCAAAGCTGTTGCATACACCAGGCTTGGTGTGGATCGCAATACAATTGTGTATCAGGCGCCGATTGCTGAAATTGCCTTTGTAAACCCAGAGCTTCAAGAGGAAGGACAGCATCAAAAGATTTGCTGAAACCTGTAGGGGCTTTTGCGAGCAGGAGCCTACAGCTTCAGCAATCCTCCAACATAAGGACAATGGATCCTTACTTGACATTCACAGAATTCATGCTTAAGTGCCCAACTCCTTGTTTGAACCGGAGCTCTGTGTTATGAAAATCCATATTCCTAGATGGGTTAAACTGTTGTTGTTCTGTGTCACATGGTGCTAATTGTGCTTGGCAGGCCTGCCGGTGCATAACAGCCCACTGGTGATTCTGGTGTCACCCATCTCTCCCTGTGGCACTCAATTAATATTCTGTTTTACAAAATAAAAGTATTTTTTGGTGAATAAACAAAATCGTAAAATCTGCAGTACATTTTGTGTAAATTCAGTGACCTTACTACCATTTCTCCAACCCACCCCATGAATTGCTTAATACATTCTATTTCATACCACCATTAATCATATGTTATTTATTAGTGTAAACGATGGATCAGGTCACCACTTTATTTGAAGGGGCACAAACATGATGAAGTAATGACAAAGTCATGCTTAGTTCATCATGATTACAACACTTTGAATTCGACAGAATACATGCACTGCTATGACCGACCGACCGGGTCACCACTTTATTTGAAGGGGCACAAACATGATGAAGTAATGACAAAGTCATGCTTAGTTACTCATGATTTACAACACTTGGAATTGTTGTGACTGGTCCGTTTTTTTGACCTGCAGATAACTGCAGATCTATATGAAGAAGACATGAACATCATTAATAACTCAGAAGTCATGAGGATTGAGATACCTTAGTTGATGCATTAATTAAGGTATTGTTCCTGCATTAAGTCATGCATGAGATACCATTAATACCTGTACATTACTGATAGTTCATGAAGTACTACATGAGTACTACATGAATTAATTCATGCTTTTTCATGCATTAAGTCATGCATGAATTCATGATGATTCATGTACCCTTACCGTAAAGTGTTACCCAACTGGTCATGTTTATCACATTCATGCTTTACTTTTTTTCTATGTTTATATTAATTTTATATATTTTATGTATATTTTATTTTTTATTGTATTAATCTTTTATTTATTTCATTCATTCTTTTCCAATAAAGGCTTGTATTCTGATTCTAATGAAGTGTAAATCGAGTTTTTAATTGTTTGAATCTAGTTTAAATAAATACTTTTTCAAGAAATATGCACTTATACATTTTCCAGCAAAGAGGTAGCGTAAAAGATTGATACCAGTCTCCTTTCTGTCTATCGCTATAAAGCTAAAGCTAGCAGTTGATTAGCTTATCTTAGCAATAATAGAATAGCGGGAATTCGATAGCCTAGTGTCCAAAATATTATAATTAGGGCCGGGACTCGATTAAAAAAATTAATCTAATTAATTAGAGGCTTTGTAATTAATTAATCGAAATTAATCGCATTTTTAATCACATATAAATATTTGACCTGAGAACAGTGAGAAGCAATTTTTTTCACATGGATTTTAGTATACCATTAGGCGCATTCACACCGCAGTACTTTTCCCACAAAGGTTCATGAGAACTCTTTGAACCTGGGGGAGGATTAGGCAAATGAAGCCGCTGACGTCACTTCTTCTTCTTCTGCTTTGGGTTTACTGGCAGGCCGCAAACCACTTCACGGCGTATACTGCCGCCCAAAGTCCCCTGGCCGGAAGTCCCCGGAGTTGGGGACTGCCTTCAGTAGAAGCTGCTGGGACTCCCAGCAGCTTCTACTGAAGCCTTCCGAGTAAATCGCCAGAACGCCGACACCTCCTCATCTCCACCGCTCCCATGTTTTATTTTGTGTTGCCATAAGTTATTCTCTCTCCGTTGGTGCGCTGGGCTAATGCTAATAATGCTAATGCGAGGATAATAAAATGGCGGCTTCACAAAACTTTTTGGGAGTTTTACGGGGCGTGGTTTGCAATCCGCCCAGCCAATCAGAAATATAGCTCTTTTCTCACAAGAGAGCCGTACGAAAGTCCCTGCTCTCTAGCAGCTCTCTGCTCTCTAGCAGGGACTTCCGTGGGGGTAAAAAGGTTCTCATTAACACATTTTAGTACCGGCTCTTTTTGGTGTGAACGCGATAAAAGAGGCTAACGTCCACGCTAGCTTCCACGCTAGCTGCTATATGTTTTGCATTGAGGTGATACTTGAGGCTTGATGTGCTGCGGTGATATGCGAATTCCTTTTTGCATAATTTGCACACAACCGTGCTCTTATCGACGCTTCCATCCGTCCGTTTTTTAAAACAACATTTCCCACTGTTGTTCACTGTGGTTTGTTGTTGTCTGAAGTCATGAACGTTAGTTGGTGCTCCAGTATAATCGGTACGCCTGAAACTCATCCAGTGAGAAACGTTCCGCGGTGCAAAAATAAGTGCGATTAAAATGCGTTAATTTTTTTAACGCGTTAATTTTTGTGTAATTAATTAATCTTAATTAACGCGTTAAAGTCCCGGCCCTAATTATAATTCAACAACTGGCCCCTCTTAATTCAACCTATTAACACATTTCACCTTATAGAAATGGAGGATATTGTAGATTAACAATGTAAAATAAATTGCATATTTTCTTGAGCAAAGTGACCTTCGGAAAAAATTGTTGCAGCACATAAACCACATCCTGCATTTTAAAGCTTTTCTTTATGAATTGAACATAACATATATAACGTCCTATTTGTAGAATGTATAAAACATGATTATAGCTGACATCGGACTACAGTGACCTCAGCACATTTATTTATGCCTTAAAGGCCCCATGTCAAGCTTTTCCGGTTATTGCCCGTCCCCTTGTGTGTTATGAAGTAGCCCTGCAGGGAGTAAAACTCTAACACAGAGAAGACCTGTCTATGCTTCCCCAGAACACCTCGTTGGACATTTCTCTTTTTCTTCCTGGGTGCAGTGCCCATACCCAAATGGACCAATCCGTGGAGCCTCACACACACACACTCGCTCAGCGGCGAAACTGTGATGTGCTGGGGGGGGGGGTGCTAGTGGAGCCTCGCAGATGGGGGGGCTGAAGTCCCCTCAGCACCCAAGCCCTCTTGCTTCCAGAACAAACAGACAGAGAAACTTTCTGTGATGAAACAGCAAAAATGTGGAGCTCTGCGGAGTGTGTGCACACAGAGCTGCCACGAAGAGCAGATACACGTTTGAAATATTAATTATTTGATCGTTATCTGCCAGCCGGAGCAAAAACAATCTCAGGTTGAAAGCATGCTTACAGAGTTAGAACAAGAGATACTCGAAGAAAATTGGAAATAAACAAAGCAAGAGATATCAAATCATTAATATGATCAGAAAAAAGCTTGATCATTGAAGTATTGCTGGACTGCCTTGGCAAAATAACTCAATTGAACTTTTCACCTACATAAATCATGTTATCGTTTGTCTACATAAACATGTCAGCAACTTTTCATGACCCCTCTACTAAATATAAACTACCAATGAATAAACAAGTCTGATACCATCATTTCCAATGCTTATAAATTATAATTAAAGCTATTTAACCTCTCTTTTTTAAGATGTTGGGAAAAAACATCAAAAAATGGAGTAGTTGAATAGTAAATGTGACCATGTGAGGTTATTGAGGAGCCCTGTGTTTAGACTCTGCTGCTGAGTGTGTGTTTGGGATAATGTAAATGGCTGATAAATCTTGCTGGTGCTGGGCTGACAACCCCCCTGCTCCCCCTTTCTGTTTTCCCATACCAGAGCTAATCTCCCGCTCCATCTCCTCCTCCAAAAACATGCTTGTGTTGATAATGTGAAGCTGGCCTACATGCAACTGTACATATTTAAAGAAAAATAAGATCCACTTGAAGAGAAGGAGAGAATCGGTAGGTGGGGGGGGGGGGCGGATGGGGCGGTGAGGGAGGGGGGTGATGTGCAGCTTTAGGAGCATTTTTCATTTTGCTTCATCCAAGCCCAAGGGCATATGGAGCTGTTGAAAGGGAATTAGAGGGTTGAGTCCTGTGTCACCGCCCTGTTAAACCCCTCAATGGCCAACATTATGTCCCTCCCCAGGAGCCTGGCTACAATTGAAAAGCGCCTTCAGCCAGTTTAGAAAAAGCTGTCCATCAGTTATTAAAAAAAAACTGCCTTAATAGGAAAAATAAATCTTTAAACCGCCCGTACAGACTGCAGATTACATCACTGTAGGAAAAGTACCAACCAGTGTGGGTATCATTAGAATTTCGTTGCTCCTCAGCATGCTTCATATTTACTTATCCTGTAATGAGTCAGACAGGAAATGTGGTGTCATGACTACCCCGGTCAAGGATCCCTCTGTTTGCTAAACCTTTTATCTCAAGGCAAGTGCATTCTAATGTTCATGCTACACTACCACCCCTCCTCCATGCAACTCTTAAAGGGGCCCTATTACGCTCATATTTGTATTTAGTGTCTCTACTGTTACATGTCTACATACTTTAATGTTCAAAAAGCTCTTTATTTTTCTCATACTGCAGCACCTCTTTTAACCCTCTGTCTGAAACCAGAGCCCAGTCTGCTCTGATTGGTTAGCTGTTGTGATTGGATAAATGCTTTGAAATGTTCCGCCCACCAGCCTATCACGTATAATGTGTTGGAGCGCTATAGAAGCACAAGTTTTGGAGGTGATGTCACTATGTTACAGAAGTAAACAAAGGAGTCTAATGGAGGTCTTTCGCTGCTTACAGTTTTTCTTGGTCTAATATGACTAACGGTAATCTGATGTTTAAGTTTAACATTATAAAAGTAATGTAACCTGATACCTTTGCTCTACTTTTGTATTACCTCAATAACAAATGCAATGCACATAAATATAAAAGACAAGAAATATGAATACAAAGTTTACTTGATTGTAATAAGACAGCAGAACAATTGGAAAAGAGCAAACCAAGGTATTTTGTTTAATACAAATGTGTCCTCTGCAACCTGCCATTAATAATCGTATTCAGGCAGTAGTCAAAAGACCAACAATGAAGGTGCATATGAGAACATTCTACAATTAAAAAAAAAAGCAAAAA